ACTGAAACTGCTGCCCGCACTGGTCATCTCCATTTTTATGTATGCATGCGAGACATGGACCCTTACGGCAGAACTTGAACGGAAAATACAGGTAGTGAAGATGAGATACTTCCGTAAAATCCTGGGAATTTCCTACTTCGACCATGTCACTAATGAAGAGGTCCGCAACATCATCATCCAACGCACTATGTCACATGAAGATCTCCTGACGACCGTGAAGAAGCGCAAGCTGAAGTGGTATGGCCATGTAATAAGATCATCTGGCCTATCCAAGATCATCCTCCAAGGGACAGTACAGGGGAAGAGAAGAAGAGGTAGACAGAAGAAGAGATGGACTGACAAAATAAAAGAGTGGACAGGAATGGACTTCGCGGAGACTCAAGCACTGACACACAATCATCAAGGGGTGGAGATGATTGGTTGATTGCTCATCAATGATGGTGCCCCAACCGACCAATGCGATGATGATGATGATGAGTGCAGCCAAAATTGGGACTTAGGTGCCTAAGTACCTTTGTGGATCTGGGTCTGCGTCTCCGCCACAACTCTGGGTCCCTGGGGGCTCCCACCTCCCCTGAGCTCATCAAGCTTCACCAAAAGGGCTTCCACAGGCAGTTGCTCCCAGGATTCCTCTTTATAAGTGGCTCTCAACAGCAGAGGGGGACGCCACATAACGTGGCCTGGGGCTATATTATCTTTCCAGTAGCATCGCTGCATCCCTCTCCAAGACCATCAAGTTCTCCACTCACATTGCTGGAGCTGCAGCCAGCCTGCCGAGGGTTCCTGTAGAAGGAGGCAGATGCAGCAGGCTAGAACTGCCCCTCACCTGCCACCATCACCACCCCATGCAAGGGGAGGATCCATGCCCAGAGTGGGAGATGACTGGCCCCAGAATTACCATTAAAAAAGACAATGCGCCAAAATCGCCTTTCAGTTACCACAGGTGCAAATTTGGTGCCAACTACCAAAGCAGATGAAGCGGTTACTTTTTTTCCCCTCCAAATTCCCACTGGCGCATCTGAGAGCAGTGTTTTATCCTACATGCCTGTAAAAATAAATACAGTTCTCTATAAAAGATTTGCCAAGAGACAGGCGGCGAAGAGAAGGAAGAGAGGGGAAGGAAGGAAAGTTTGTCAGTTAAAATGCAGCCATGGTAAGGGCATGAATTTCCAGGACTGACATAATGTTCAGGGGTCACTGGCACGTCTAAATATGAACACTGAGGTTCCTGATTCATTGTTCTATCTACGTTAATGTTCCACATCCCTCGGGGCTTCAAATATTCCAACTACAGGAGAGCAGAGAAGTGTACAATTAAATTGTGGATGGCTGAAACTTGACCAAAGCTTGGACTTTTTTCTTTCCAATTATAGCGATATCTGACATCACCTACCTCTCATCTGTGTGACCTCAGTAGCTCAGGAACTAGCAAATGATGAGAATGGTGGACTAGAAAAGTATTTTGTATATGAGCAATTAGCTGTTAAGAAAAAATTGAGATCACTCAGGCTTTCAAACAGGTCCATAAGGAATGGATGGAAAGTTAGAACTATTAAACCGGGGTGGCCAACCTGTAGCTCTTCAGAAGTTAATATGCGGCTCCTTGCATAGGTGCCGACTCCGGGGCTGGAGCTACAGGCACTAACTTTTCAATGTGCTGGTGGGTGCTCACTGCTCAACCCCCAGCTCTGCCCCAGGTCCTGACCCCACTCCACCCCTTCCCCTAAGGCTCCTGCCCCTCCTCCCGAGCCTGCCATGCCCTCGCTCCTTCCCCTTCCCCCCTCCTCCAGAGCCTCCTGCATGCTATGAAACAGCTGACTGTGGTGGGCAGGAGGCACGGGGAGGGAGGGGGAGGCGCTGATCGGTGGGGCTGCCAGTGGGCGGGAGGTGCTGGGGGCGGGGAGCTGATGGGGGGCTGCTGACGTATTACTGCAGCTCTTTGGCAATGTCCATTGGTAAATTCTGGCTCCTTCTCAGGCTCAAGTTGGCCACCCCTGTGTGTGACCACACTGCCATCTAGTGGCTGTAGCCTACCAGACTGTAGGGCCTGATCCTCCCAGATGCTGAGTGCCCTCAACTCCCATTGACTTTAATGCAGATTTATCTCTCCTCCCACTGACTTTAACTGTACCTCAATCATTGAGATTCACGGCTGGGATTAGCCTGATTCGCTGTGATTTGCTCAATCATCTGCTTACATGGATCTTCCTGCAGGATCAGGGCTTCCAACTGTATAGTGGTAAGCCACATGCTTTATAATTAACACATCAATTGGTGATCTCACCCCCCTTTCCTTTCTCAGCAAATATTTAATAAATGAATGCTGTGCTGGAGCCTTCTACTATGTGACGGGGTGTACCGGCCCTGCACTGGAGCAGAAGGGGTTAAGGCAGTGATCTTAGCAGTAGAAGCCACGCCCCCTCGACCCTGCTGGGCATGCCTCAACTGTTGCTACAGTATAAAAGGGAGCAGCTCAGTTGGGGTGGACTGCTGAGGAAGAAGGATGTGCCTTGCTGGCTCCAGCCCAGACATTTGGTCTGAGGGAGCAGGCGACGCCGAGGCCCAGACAGGCACCCTGGCACCGGCAGATGTCCTAGAGAAACTGAAATTGCCACCTGAGGCACCCCAAGACCCTGAAGGCACTCTGACTTCAGCGACAGGAGACACGACAGGAAGCAGCCCAGGGAGGGACTAGCCAGTGTCCCTGCAGCAGTTGGTGTGTTCGGGTGGCCCACCAAATCCCCCTCCCATGCACTCTGGCCATTGGGGTGTGCCTCCCTGAAGACAAGGGGAGTTCCATGGAGTTTGGTGATTGGGGTGTGCTTCCCTGAAGACAAGGGGAGTTCTGTTGACTCTGGTCATTGGACTACACAGCCCTGTGGCTGAGTGCAACCATATTGACTTAACCATGGGGCTACCACACCCTTACCCCTCCCTTAGGGTGACGTGGTGGGGGGCAGGTATTGGCCCTATGACATACTACTAAAACTTCATCACTTTTACAAAATATACAACAGCGTATTCTGAAATGCTTCTAATAATTCATGTATATGTAGTGTTGTTGTAGCCAGGTTGGTCCCTTGAAACATGTGTTAACTATTTATGCTAAACAATCGGTTCTACTTTGTATTTAGCTGTGATACTGAGTCAATTTCCCAGACCTGAGGAAGAGCTCTGTGTAAGCTCCAAAGCTCATCTGTTTCACCAAAAGAAGTTGGCCCAATAAAAGAAATTACCTCACCCACCTGTCTCACTAACCATTACAACTATTTACAGTTGTCAAGGGAAATGAACAAAGTATGGTGTATACAATGTGATGGAATAGGCTCTTTTTTTTATGGTGGTGGTTCATTCATTTGAAAAATTCAGTCATTCACAATGGGTCTCCAAATCTTCAAGAACCAGTGAGATTCTACTGTAACTGTTTAGGGTTACCATATCTATTAAATAAAAAAAGAGGACCCTCCACGGGCCCTGGCCCCGCCCATTTCCCCACCCCCAGCCGTGCCCCAACTCCACCACTTCCCCGCCCTAACTCCGCCCCCTCCTCCCTCCCACTCCCAGCCAGGGGGAAAGGGCTGCCCGAGCGCTACCGGCTTCACGGTTTGCTGGGCAGCCCCCAGACCCTGCGCCCCCGGCCGGCGCTTGCCCAGCGCAGCTGGAGCCCGGGAGGGGAAGCGCCCAGCCGGGGGCGCAGGGTCTGGAGGCTGCCCGGCAAACCGTGAAGCCGGTAGTGCTTGGGCTTCGGGCAGCCCCCTT